GGAAAGTGAAATCAGCCTTGTTCACAGCAAGGAATGCAAAACATCAAGCCACTTAGATGGCTTAGATAAGGACTTACCACAACAAAATACGGTAAGACGAGGAAGCGCTGAGATTGTAATGCGCGATAACGAAATGGACTTTACAGCAGAAGCGCGTAGGTCGATTCAATCCCCCACGCGTCACAGTCCCACAGTTCAGGAAAATCAGAAAACTTTCAAGAGTACTGGGCAGTGTTCGACTCCATTGTTCACAGTAACCCGACTCTTAGCGTGATGGAAAAATGATCCTTCTCAAGGAAAGTTCTGACAGGAAGAGCAGCCAATACGGTCAGAGGAATCAAAATGATTCCACAAAACTATACGTGGATGATAGACATGATAAAGAAAAAATATGACAACCCGAGCAGCGCACGCGCTAATGTCATAAACCGCCTGGTTTCTCTTCGACCAGCAAAACAAGGTCCAGCGTCGTGCGGAGAGGTTATTGATGAAATCCGGTGCTTGATAAATGAGATGATATCTTCCGGCTACAGAATCTCTGATACTCAAGATCCAATGTGGATTGAAACGATACTGAAAAAGTTCCCTCGGCGTGTAGTGGAGGAACTCCTCAGAGAATCCAACAACGGGGAATCAAGTACTGTTGGAGAGATTCTGAATAAGCTAGATGCAATTATCGTGCGTGACACATACATCTCGGAACGCCTTATTCATAATGATACAGGTACTACAGAGCAAAGTGCTCATGGGAGAAAAGAAGGCGAACGATACGGTCGCTATTTCTGCAATTTCTGCGAAAGAACAAATCACCGATCCCATCAATGTCGAGACATAAAAGAGGCAAGTGCACGCAGAAAAATTGTAATGGACAAGAACCTATGTTGGAAATGTTTCTCAAAAGATCACAAGAGTAACGAGTGCAGAAGACCGCACTGCAAGCGCTGCGGACGACTACATGATGAGTCTATTTGCATGCAAAAACAAGTTAGTAGTGAACCTTTCGAAAAGCCTCAGTCTCAAAATAGACGTCACGTAGTGCAGAGCTCCTTACAGATCAATCCTGAGAATGATGGTGACAACAAAAAAGTCGATGTTAACAAAAAGTTCTCACAACCACCGTGTTTGCACACGCCGAATATGTTCAGCACTGCTTCTTCATCAGTAGTAAACAAGCCGGCGATTCCAGAAGAAGTTCAATACTCAACCAGCAGGAGAGCAAATGGTGCTGATGACAGCAGAAGGGCTTGTGTTTAATCGTGCTTCAGGAATGTATCAGAGAGCTCTATTCTTCTTTGACACAGGAGCTCAGCTGAGCCTTATTCATGAGAACTCTGCAGAACATCTTGCCCTGCCAGTTATAGGAACCGAGCAGTGTACGTTATCGGGCATCAGCGGTACATGTGAAACGTTTTTGTCCTATCACGTGCTGCTAAAGGTTCAGTCGGCTCAAGGACGAGAGATGGAATTCGCGATGAAGACAAAGCCGACAATAACATCAGGTTTCCCTTCGGTTCCACCTTTCCCAATTGGACATCAAGTTTATGGAAGAAAATAATATCTTCCTGACAAATACTCGTTTGAAGGGAGAACATCAAGTTGCTCACATACTCATAAGGAATCGACCTCTACAGCTTATTCGTCAACGAATTCGATTCTCCAATACAGCTACCTAGTGGCCTTCCGAGTAGCACAAACAATTTTCGGACTAGCAGCCTACGGCCATGGTTGGACCGAAAAACACATCACGGCACCGTGCGAAACCGTTTCCTGCAACACAGTTTTATCCGAGTCCGAGATGCTCAAGAACATCTTCGAATTGGAGGCCCTGGGAATATCTACCACGGAAGGAACAAGTGACGAAGATACATACGCCTACCTGAAAAAGTACTCGAAATCGATAAGTTTCGGAAACGGTTGTGTTACAGCCCCATTCCCGATCAAGGAAAACATAGTCGATTTGAAAAGTAACTATAATGTTGCACTTCGTAGGCTTATTGCTCAGGTGAGGCACTTAAACAGCTTTCCCGAGCGCAAAGAATGGTACATTAAGATTATCAAGCAATATCTGTGCGAGGATATAATTGAAGAGGTCTCTGAACCCGTCCCAAGAATCAGTAGGAGTTTTCTACATGCCGCATAGTGAGGTATGGAGAGCACACAAACAGGTCCCCTTAAGGATTGTGTTCGACGCTTCCTCTCACCAAAAGGGATGCCTATCGCTAAACGACGTGATTTACACAGGATCTTCCTTTGTAAACAAAATCCACGAAATTTTGGTGTCAAGCAGAGAAAAGCCGTTTGTGTTGATCGCCGACATACAAGCCGCGTTCACACAAATACGGATTCAAGAGTCCCATCGCGATCTTTGTAGGTTCCTGTGGCTGAAGGATCCACAAAAGCCTCCGGTTCAAGGCAACCTAGCTGTGTACAGATGGAAACGAGTTCCTTTTGGGATAACGTCATCACCCAGCATGTTGAACATGGTACTTTCCGCGTATCTGCAAACGCTTGATACACCACTAGCATTCGAAATCCTCAAAAATATATACATTGACAACGTTCTCATAGGAGCAAACTCTGAAGATGAAGCTGTGAAAAAGTATGAAGAGGCCAAAAAGTTGTTTGCGTCCATTGGAATGAATTTGCGCGCGTTTGTGAGTAACTCCGGAGACGTAAACAGCCGAATCGCGCAAAAAGATAGAGCGCCATACGAACCCATGAAGTTGTTAGGGGTGGATTATAATCCCGTTTCAGATACGTTCTCACTGGAAACGAAGTTTTCATTCCAACCAATAATAAAGCGGGACTTTCTCAAGCAGCACCATTCGGTTTACGATCCTATTGGCTTAGGAGCTCCTTTAATGATTAGCCAGAAGCGCCTGCTCAGAGCAATGTTCGAAGAAAAAACCGACTGGAAAGCGGAAGTAAAATCCGAAATTGCGCACGAGTGGCACATGGTAACAAAGGCTATTAACAACATTCGAGTGCAGATTCCTCGAAGGCTGTTCAGGACCATTACTGTGCCTGATGAAATCAAGCTCTGGATATTTGCGGATGCAAGCAATCAAGCGATGGCAGTATGTGCCTTCGCTGAGAATTGTAGCTCCACAGAAATTTCATCACTGATTTGCGGGAAAACGAGACTAGCTCCAAAGAAGCGCCAACTAACAACGCCAAAACTAGAACTTCTTGCGGTACTCCTTGCTCTCAGGCTTGCGGAATCAATCATACACGCATTCAGCAACAGGGTTGCCCAAGTAAACATTGTAAGTGACAGCCGGATTGCACTCAGTTGGATTCGTTCTGCGCGAAAGGTACCGCTCTTTGTGGCAAATCAGAGGGACAGAATAAAAACCATCATGAACAAGTTGACTGCATTGGGATGCAACTGCAGCCTCTTCCACGTTCCAGGAGAGCGAAACCCTGCAGATGCAGGAACAAGGGATGCCATGAATACACAGTTAGGAAACCACGAATGGATAACAGGACCGCAGTGGATTTTAGATAAAAATGAAAGGGCACTCCTCAAGAACATTGACGCTATTGAAAAATGGGAAAGCGTTGAAGAAGACGAAGAAGAACCAGAAGACGGGAAAGAAAAAGGAGTAGAAGCACACGTACATTTGGAAGTAAAAGAACAAGTCGATACCATCATTGACTTAAGCCGCTTCAGCAGATTAGAAAAAGCTTTACGTGTAATTGCTTTTGTGTATAAATTCATAAGCAAGCTGAAAAGCAAGCGAATACCAGGCTACGAAAAACCAACGCCAAAACAGCTTGCCCCAAGGTTTGGTCAGATCACGGCAGCAGACATTAGTGAAGCTGAAGAAAGTCTTTTACAATTGGAACATAGCAAGATTGACCTAGAAGACTTGCAAAAGCGATACCGCGACAAAAAAATTATACGGGACGTAAGAGGAATTATACGATGTGAATCTCGGTTACAAAATGCGAATCTGTCTTACGATGCTCGCAATCCAATTTATGTCCCACAAAGATCTGAGCTCATGCGATTAATTCTCGAGAGAAATACACTTGAATCATGCACACTGTGGTGAAAGTCACATGCTTGCTTTGGCTCGACAACGATTCTGGCTGGCTAAACCATCGAAATCGGCGCGAGATGTGCTCAAAAATTGCGCAGTGTGCCAGAGAGAACAGAGTCTACCGTTCAAGGCTCCAGAAATGGCGTCTCTACCAAAGGATATGAGTAATAAAATCCAAACCCTTTTCAAGAATGTGAGGATGCGATTTTATCGGTCCATTCACGCTGAAAGATAGCTCTAAGGTATACGTCTGCCTGTACACTTGCCTCGCAATCAGAGCAGTACACTTGGAAGTAGTGGAAAGCCTTTCAGCTCAAGCGTTTCTTAACAGCTTTATACGATTTATTGCTCGCCGTGGCGTACCTTCCATAATACGCACTGACTGCGGAACTAACTTCACTCTTGGGCAAAAAATCATCGATACGCTCTTTGCTACAGAAGAAAATGAAGACAATTCTGTGATGAGTTACTGTGCTACACACAAAATCACCTGGATATTCAATCCACCAGGTGCCCCTTGGATGGGCGGAGTATGGGAAAGATTGGTCAAATCAGTGAAAGTCGCATTCCAAAAATGTGTTGGGAAGAAGGAAACTGACGTTCTCTGAGATGGTAACTATGATAACCCGAATAGAGGCAATCATCAACACCAGGCCTCTTTCTGCGATCAGTACAGACGATATGGGCGCGTACCCGCTGCGCCCTGTAGACTTCTTACAGGGAAATCTAAAATTCTCCCTACCTATACCAACTTTGGAAGGAAAGATCGATGATGACCCGGAATATGATCCAGAGTGCATACAGACTGTGCATCAAGCTAAGGAAGCTCTGGAGTTCTCAGAACGTATGGCAAATAATTTCTGGAATATATGGAACCTTGAATATCTCACTGTTCTAAGAGATTCCCAGAAGCTTCTCATGAAAGCACAGAAACACAACGCTAGAGAGATCCCAGAAGTAGGGGAAATTGTATTAATAGAGCACGAACTCCTTCCGCGAGGTCACTGGACATGTGGCAGAGTCGTTGAGCTCGTTCCCAGTGCTGACGGTTTAATCAGATCCGCAAAGCTCAAACTACCGCATTGGAAAGCTCCCTTGACACGTCCTATCACAAAACTCTACCCTTTGGAAATAAGAGCTCCACCAGTAGAGAGAAACAGCGAAAACGGACATGTCTCGAGCGGGACAGAAACTACCAATTCAGAAAGAGCAACCATAAAAATGACTACGCAACGAAGAGTCCAGCAGCCTCGCACAGCGAAAACAAAAGCGATGGAAGCACTGCGACGAGAACAACAAAGGGACGCAATGTCAAGTCAGAGCCAACAGACAGTGCAAATCGCAACCGTGAAATCCAATAGAACGACAGAGTATCTTGGTGCGGCCTTAATGTTGCTAGCAATGATGCTCGTGCGATGTGATGCCGCTCAAGCTATCACATGCTCGGAGGGGACTGTCACAATACATCCTAGAGAGACCCCTTTTGAAATATGTTTCAATAACAACTGCAAAACTTTCACAAACCGCACAGCGATTTTGCAGTACGAGCTGGAACCATCTCCACATACTGCAAAGACTCTAGTAACATTGACGTCCGAAAATCAGATTGCTCAGCGCAGGTGCGAAACTCCTTCCCTATGCAAGCATGCATCAAAGTTCCTCTCGAAGGCTCTTATTGGCAACCCAAATTGCTGGCCAGAGGGAGCCATAATTTCGTTGTCGATAATTTGTTACTGCGTCGCTTCACTGACAGCGTTACTAATCTGGCTTGCGGTACGAAAACGTAGAAACGCAAAAAGCAGCCACTTCTAATACTCTTACCGTAGAACTACAGGCAACATCCGCACCAAGGGAAAGAGATAAAGCGCCATTCTCGTTGTCGAACTTCCGACCTGCAGCACTCAACCTCACCGAAACGGTACTTGTGGTAATAGCAGCGTTGTGTAGTGTGTCTTTTCGCTTGCCAGGATGGATACATGAGGCATTCCGTAGAGCTATCGTGCTCGTAGCGTAACATCTGTCATTATGAGTTCAGACGAGAAATGCTTTTCAATCGCATTCAGATGCGCCTCTGCTTGGAACTTCGCCATGGAAATGTAACCATAGGTCATATAAAGGTAACGCGGATCTCTGAACATCTTGCGTGCAAGAAGGTCTCGTTGTTCTGGATACGAGACACTCGCCAGCAAGTTGATCATAATGTTCGATGCCGAGGATTGGGGTCATGCCACGACGATGTGTGCGAGTCTCTAACGCCTAGCGATATGATTCCCGAACTCAACTCCTCTGCCCTATATCCCGGGTATTCCGGTTGTTCAATACAATGCAGCGGCGTCAACTGTATTTGCCCAATACCATTCAGGGCTTGTACCTTCTACCGCGTTTCACACATACCATTGTCATCCCAGATCTACGAAGTGTTCAGATGCGCAGCATGGGAACCGGACCTCATTTTCGAGATAGAGGTAGAAGTCTATAACAGCAGGAAGCGCGAACGCCTTTCGCTCATTCCGTATGTGGCGAAAAACTTCGCGGATTTCAAGTTCACTGTGATATCTACCCAAATGCCACAAACGCTACCACATCAGAAATTTGCTCAATCCGGCAATGAGACACTACTGATACCTGATGAATTCCTTTTTTCTGTGACGTGTGATACCCAGGCAAACGCCCAGTATAATTTCTCATCATGCGATAACAAGCTTTACTGCGCATGCGATGTCACCGGAATCAAACCAAGCTGCCGCTGTCCGCACTTTCCGCTGACACAAATACGAGAAAATCACAACAGTGTGCTGCCGGTATCTACCCCGCATATCGCAATTAAAAGGGCAGCTGATACACTGATAGCGGAATCCAACAAAGTAGAAACTATCATAGCTATTACATCTGACAGGCACATAGAAAGCGCACACTTGAATATCAATACCACCTGTGCAATACAGATTCATAGTCTCGTAGGGTGTTATAGCTGCGAACAAGGTAGCTTGGCGGAGATCTCATGTTACGCACCTATCGAATCTCGAACCACCTTACAATGTGCGGACCAGGTGTTTTCTATCGAGTGCAGTCCTACAAATAAAACAAATATCGTCAAGTTCTGGTTTGAGAAAGCCGTCATAGACGTGAAATGTAATACCGTATGTGGAGGTTACAACGTTTCCACAAGGTTGACGAGTGTTCTCAATTATTTTACGTACAAGGGAAATGTAGACGTTTTCCACCCAAATGTAGAAAAAGCTACACCACAGCTCGATTGGTTTACGGATTTTCATCTACCGGACCTAACTCCTATGTGGATAGTTCTTTTCGTCCACTGGAAGGTGACGTTGGCGGCCATTACGATGCTTACCGTACTAATACTACTGACGTACATGCTTGGTCCAATAGTTCTACTACGTATCGGATCGGTAATAGGCTCAGGAATAACTCTTGCCTTGAAAGTCCTGTGGAAAATTTTACAGTTAGTCGGATTAAGCTGTATCCATTTCATCCGTAGTCGTCATGCAGCACAACAGTAATCTCATGAAAGCACAGAAACACAACGCTAGAGAGATCCCAGAAGTAGGGGAAATTGTATTAATAGAGCACGAACTCCTTCCGCGAGGTCACTGGACATGTGGCAGAGTCGTTGAGCTCGTTCCCAGTGCTGACGGTTTAATCAGATCCGCAAAGCTCAAACTACCGCATTGGAAAGCTCCCTTGACACGTCCTATCACAAAACTCTACCCTTTGGAAATAAGAGCTCCACCAGTAGAGAGAAACAGCGAAAACGGACATGTCTCGAGCGGGACAGAAACTACCAATTCAGAAAGAGCAACCATAAAAATGACTACGCAACGAAGAGTCCAGCAGCCTCGCACAGCGAAAACAAAAGCGATGGAAGCACTGCGACGAGAACAACAAAGGGACGCAATGTCAAGTCAGAGCCAACAGACAGTGCAAATCGCAACCGTGAAATCCAATAGAACGACAGAGTATCTTGGCGCGGCCTTAATGTTGCTAGCAATGATGCTCGTGCGATGTGATGCCGCTCAAGCTATCACATGCTCGGAGGGGACTGTCACAATACATCCTAGAGAGACCCCTTTTGAAATATGTTTCAATAACAACTGCAAAACTTTCACAAACCGCACAGCGATTTTGCAGTACGAGCTGGAACCATCTCCACATACTGCCAAGACTCTAGTAACATTGACGTCCGAAAATCAGATTGCTCAGCGCAGGTGCGAAACTCCTTCCCTATGCAAGCATGCATCAAAGTTCCTCTCGAAGGCTCTTATTGGCAACCCAAATTGCTGGCCAGAGGGAGCCATAATTTCGTTGTCGATAATTTGTTACTGCGTCGCTTCACTGACAGCGTTACTAATCTGGCTTGCGGTACGAAAACGTAGAAAGCAAAAAGCAGGCACTTCTAATACTCTTACCGTAGAACTACAGGCAACATCCGCACCAAGGGAAAGAGATAAAGCGCCATTCTCGTTGTCAAACTTCCGACCTGCAGCACTCAACCTCACCGAAGTGGTACTTGTGGTAATAGCAGCGTTGCGTAGTTCGCAGACGGCCGCACCATGTTTACGGGCGCAGACCTGCCTGCGAACCCTGACGGCTGTATGTCGCCGCGGAACGCATGACGGCGCGCATGAGCGAGTGTGAACTCTTCGCCCGCGCGGGAGAGAGACAGTGTCTAAATCGGCGAAACTGCGTCAACCGTGACAGTGGTTGAAAACTGCGCGGGAGACGCCCCGGTGACTGCTGGGACTCTGTAGGTTAATACAGGGCGGTCTGTGTAGTGGTCTTTTGCTTGGGCCAGGGAAATGTGACTTACATGAGGCATTCGGTAGGGTAGCTACGATGCTGCAGTAGCGTAACAGTCTGTACAGTTATAGCTCGTCAGACGCGATCTTTTCATCGCATTCAGGTCGAACTGCGGTGCGCATGGCGGCTTGAGTAAAGCATCAGGCTCATGGAAATGTAACCAAGGATATAATGGTAAGCGCGGATCTCTGAATCACTTGGGCTCCCAGAAGGTCTCGGTTTCTGATACGAGACAGGTCGCCAGCAAAGTTTGAATAATTTCGTGGCCGCCCGAGGAACTTACGGCGTCGTGATACCCAGCAGCGGGCCCGTCAAAAAACGACGATTGTGGTGCGAGTCTCTAACCGCCGGAGTACGATGTAGATTTCCCACACTCAAACTCCTCTGCGCTCTATAAATCCCGGGTATTCACGGGCTTGTTCAATTACATGTCCAGACGCCGCGTCAGCTCTGTATTGGCCCAATCAGCCATTCAGGCTTGTACCCTTTCTACCGCTTCCACACACTACCATTGTCAATCCCCAGTTTCTTACGAAGTGTTCATAGTACCATTCACGGAACACCGGACCGCATTTTCGAGATAGAGGTAGAAGTCTATAACAGCAGGAAGCGCGAACGCCTTTCGCTCATTCCGTATGTGGCGAAAAACTTCGCGGATTTCAAGTTCACTGTGATATCTACCCAAATGCCACAAACGCTACCACATCAGAAATTTGCTACAATCGCGGCAAGTGAACATTACTGAACCAGAGATTCCTGTTTCACGTAAACGTAGACGCTTTGATCCACGGCCGGACCAGCATCCAAACGCGCCGGTATAATTTTCTCCTTATGCGATACACAACGCTTTAGCTGGCGCATACGGCGATGTTCGGCTGCGGGAATCAATACCACAGCTGACCGCTGTCCGCACTTTCCGCGAAGACACAAGATGACTGCAGAAAATCCCATACCAGTGGCTGGGCGCGGTATCTACCGGACCGTGCATTCGTAATTAAGGGGCACTGGATACCTGATAGCGAATCTACACAAGTAGAGAACTATCAATGCTAGTACATCTGACGGGACATAGAAAGCGCACACTTGAGATGTGCAATACCACCTGTGCAATACCAGATTCATGTTAAGTGCTCGCCTCAGGCTGCGAACAAGGTAGCTTGCGAGAATCTCAATTGTGCGGCACGGACTATGCGAAGTCTCGGCACGACGACCCGCTTGAGACAATGTGCGGCCGAGGATTGTTTTCGTACATGCGACATGGGCAGCCCTAGGGCAGACATAAAACAAAGGATATCGGTCAAGTGTTCGGTTTGAGGAAGGCACGTAATAGACAGGGAAATGTAAACAGTATGTGGAGTTACAACGAATCTGTCGACCGAGGTTGCACGGGTGTTCTCAATGTATTTTGACGGTACAGAGGGAATGTTAGGATCGTTTTCGCCGAATCCCAAGGATATAGAAACAGCTACAGTACCACAGGCTCGCATGGTTTACGGATTTACTCGTCTACCGGACTTAACTCCTATTGGATCGCTCTTCGTTCCACTGGAAGGTGCGTTGGCGGCTATTAGCGCTGCTGACCGGTGCTAATACGGACTGACGTACATGCTTGGTCCAATAGTTCTACTACGTATCGGATCGGTAATAGGCTCAGGAATAACTCTTGCCTTGAAACGTCCTGGGGAAAATTTTACAGTTAGTCGGATTAAGCTGTATCCATTTCATCCGTAGTCGTCGTGCAGCACAACAGTAAGATGGGATCAATTGGCAACACCACGCCCACATTCTACGAAGCACCCACATAAAAACGTTCGTATCCTCTTATTTCCACATGGACGACTTAGATCGCGAGCTGCAGCTCTTTGAGCTCGAACGCCAAGCGGCCATGGACGCCATCAGCAATACTCTGCAAGGAATCACGGGTCGACTCGACACCTTATACGCCATGGTCGCTGAAATGAAAGACGACATCCGCACGTTACTAGAGCGGACTACTCCAAAATCAACTTGTGTATTCTGTTCTCTAGCGGACAATGTAGATGGACACTTTCACCGGACGTTGCCATCGCTACCCAGACTCCGTCACCCGAGCAATGCGAATTTCTGAACTTCATCTTTGCGCTCGGTGTCTCCGCGCAGAGCATGGCACTGTGGCATGCACGGTGTCATGTAATCTCTGTCGCGGTCCGCACAATACTGTGCTCTGTTCGAACCCCCCAATAAAGAAGCGTAAAACCTGAACAGCTGCTTCTAGCTCGTCGTTCCATATTCGTCTACTGCTGCTCATACGTCATCCCCTATTCGTTGCTGCTGCTGTCTATCCGTCGCCGCATATTCGTCTGCTGCTGCTTGCCTGCCTTCGCCTAGCCGTCGGTCTGCTCCCAGTTGTGTATCCATCGTCGCATATTCGTCTGCTGCTGCTTGACCTGATCGTCTATCTGCTTCCAGCGTCAGTTCGTGATGCTATCATTCACTTTTCTGGACAACGTTATCGTGAGGTGCTGCACATCGCTGCACAGCCCTTGTTGGGAGTTCTCGTTGTAAGCAGATGTCATCATCGATCGAGTCAGCCGTGCCTTCTTCAAGTGGTAGCCTACGGTTCTTGTCGAATGGTATGCAACGTCAGCGGATGGCCAATTTACTAGTGCGACTTTTCTGTTTTGGAACTTGATTGACTTTTCCTGATTACTTGGTATACTATTACAGTATCTGATATTGATATAACTGGTCGATTTTGTGGTGTTTGTACTCGATGTATTTTTTGCTTGCCGTGAGTGGGGCCGCAGTGTCGCGACCGCGACGTCATAGGCGGGGCTCCGCCGTTGACGCCGCTATCAGGCGGCCGCGACGTCAGAGGCGGGACTCCGCCCTTGACGCCGCTATTAGGCTCCACCCATAGGCTTCCTCAATTCTGTGTTTTCACAGTGTGAAGAGCGCTAGCATAAAAGTTAACCACTGAACCGCGTGCATACAGTTTACTGGAGGTGCTGCACATATAAAAAGTAAGAGAAAAACAGGGGCAGAGAATGCAAGCAAGACTCTAATTTGAGCAGAAGCAATTTTTTGCCTGGCTTCATTCAGGAGGTGAGGGGATGGGGCGCGTTCAGAAAAAATATTTCAAAAGAGCACAACCTGCTTAAGGTCACCCATTTTTGATTAATTGAGTAGCCCTCTTCTGAGAATTTTTGTTATATAACTGAAAGCTGTGTAGAAGTCCGAATCAAAGTTCTGAAGTAGCTTTTTCTAACTGGATGGTCATTTGGTCGGTCCGGCCGTTTGCAATGAGGTGTAGTCCGCTACACGCGTCTTGTGACGCTGAGCTCAAATCCGTTTTCGGTTTTTGCCGAACGATTCTCTGAGCGAAGTTATGAGGGATTCTTCTCACTGTGGCTATCTCACTGTGGTGCCCTCTACATCCCCCTATCCCACTTGGCTCGCGTAAAAACAGAACGAACGAACAGAACGATAACAAAATAACGCAGTATAGCGCTTTCTGGGCTCGTATGAGCAACCTTGAAAGAACCGCGAAATGCTCCGCGATTCTTCTTATGTGTGATAAGTGGGATGGGGGGGGGGGTGTAGAGGTCGCCACAGTGAGATAGCCGCAGTGAGAAGAATCCCTCATAACTTCGCTCAGAGAATCGTTCGGCAAAAACCGAAAACGGATTTGAGCTCAGCGTCACAAGACGCGTGTAGCGGACTACACCTCATTGCAAACGGCCGGACCGACCAAATGACCATTCCTTGTTACAAAGGGGAAGGAATACCGAAGTCGCAGTGGCCATTATGAAACCTATTCTCCACAGATTGTTGCTGGGTCGCTGATCTCCGAATCCGACTCCAAATTTGCGGACACGCTTCGTCTGCCAGAGTTTCAAAAAGTTGTTTTCAAATAAAAGCCTACTCTAAGGGATACTGGCAGAGCAGGAGCGACAGCAGCAGCTTGGCCTAGAGGTATTGCTCACTGCCTGCGCTGGTAAGACCATGATTCGAATTTTGCTGAGCTCGAACGTTTTGCACTTTGTAACTATGATTGCTCTACGTTCAAAAAAACTATTCAGTGTTGAAATTTCCACTAGCCAGACGTCGTCACGTGTTCAGACGAGCTCTTTTCAAGCATTAACTATATTCGTCGCATAATGTTGTGACCATTTATTGTGTGAACGTGTTTCTTACGGCACGAGGGTACCATTAGATGAGAAGATATTATGATGTTGCTCAGCCGACCCACTATCCGAAACAGCAACTTCAACAACTGATGATTCTGAAGCTAATTCAGCAAAAGTTGGCCGAACAATCAGGTCGTAAATTTTATTATCAATTTAACTTTTTAATCTTCATTTTTAATTTTATCAAGGCCAGTAAACCCTAGCGCTTGTCCTTACATATGGCGACAGTGAGCAGTGTATCCAAACAGTCTATCCAAAGAGTTAGATTGTCTCTACCATCTAACTCTTTGGATAACGCGAGAAAATAAGACAGACATATATATTTTGTTTTGCGAGTAAAACTGAAAGTTTAATTCCATCCCATGACCAGGCTCTGACACTGCGTCAATGGATAGATATGACTGCCCACACTCTTTTAGGTCAAAATTTTAGATTCGGATCAGAAATTGTCAAAAGGGGTAGTTTTAACACACTGAAACACAAAAATCACCTCTGCTTTCGCATGAAAGGTGTCCTAAAGTGCTTAAAGTGGCCCAATGTCTTCTACAATGGCCGAATGGGGTGGTTCAGTTTTTTCCTTGTGTCGTCAATAGAATAAAGGATAAACACCGCGACACAATAGATGCTGTCGAGTAACCTGCCACGCGTAAAGGTAGTGAGAAGAGTACTGTGTTCGAAAAGAAAAACTCCAAAAATTAGACTCACGAAATTTATATACCTCTCGATTACCTTCGTACAATAGCCGAAATGTAGCACACCAGATATATACTGAATTAGCACCAACAGAGAGGTCAAATCTCAGATCCAGTAGTGACTCACACCGACGGTCACCCAGATGACCGTTCAGACCAAGGCAAACCGAGCCAGAAAACAGAACTGACGCCGTCGAGCCTCTCACGAGGCGGGAGCATGTGTTATGGTAAGATAGTATGCCGCTGCATGAGGTGCTCGACGACGCCTACAAACTGTATGTAAAAGCTCAAGCAAAGCACGGCATGAGGAAGAATGCAATAGATGAGAGAGTAAGAGAGAACAAGGGTTATGAGCGCAATACAGAATAAATGAAGTACAATATAAGTGACAAATGAACTATGTGAAATAAAGAATCGCGTATCGTCGCGATACTCCCCCCGGCCCCCCGAAGGTCAATCTACCAAAAGGAAAGAAAAAAGGAAGAAATAATCAGTAATCAGAGGAAAGATCGATCATAGGACTGATGTTCGCTTATCTGTTGTCTCGCCACGAGCTACCTGGTTCCGTCCTCCTGATTAAATCTCGTAACGTGCACGAATTCCTTGAAATCGTTTATCGTAGGCCATACCATACAGCCCACCAGAAGGACGAACGTCACTGAACGTGGCACTCGGGCCACCGTGTACAATCTCGTATAGTACACGAAGAAGGACGAGCATCAGCTTGTTTCTGGCACTCGGGCCAGCTGCGTGCAATCTCGTATAGCACACAGGAACGGTAGAACATCAGTGTGTGCTGGCACTCGGGCCAGCAGTGTGCATATATCTTACAGCTCACGAGAACGGTCGAGCATCAGTGTAAGCTGGCACTCGGGCCAGCAGTGGGCATAAATCTTACAGCTTCACAGGTTATTGATTGGAGCAGAGTACAAAAGATGGCTTTAATAGGGGCGGGGTTTCCTATCGGCAGAACGGTAGGGCAAGTTGAATCAATGTCGCTCCAATAGCTGGTTCCTTCTTGTCGTGAGCAGCTCGATGCGGAGATCGTACTCTCTAATTCTCTCGGAAATTTCCGCGATCCTCCTAGTCATTTGCTCTGAACGCTCCGGTTCAGCACACAATGCCGGGTGGTGGCTGGTGGAGCCACAATATCGGCAAGGTTCCTCTTTTCGTTTACACTGGGCATGCAGGTTTGATGGGAGTAGGCACATGGTACATCCGAGCAATTCTCTCTCTAGTACTTGCCCCTGGGAATCGTGGACATGCGTCGGAATA